CCCCCCCCCCCGCAACATTCAAAGAGCAATGAAATTCCCATATTTTTTCATGTTTTCTAGAAAGTGTACCACAACTATGATAAGTCTAAACAGAATAAAAAATATTCAGGAATTATAACATAACATTAACAGACAATAAAACCAGAAGAAAAACCTAAAATGACAATTAACATGCATATCATATTACCTTTTCCATCACTCTTTTCATCATCATCTTCATCGTCTTCATCCTCCTCTTCTGACTTGCTGTCCTCATCTTTTACTTTCCCTGCCTTCCCTTCTTTCGCAGATTTTGCATTGGCCGCTTTAGACTCCTTTTTCACATCCTTGCCTTTTAACTTCTTCTTCGAATCTTTATCTTTGGATTTCAAAGATTCTTCTGAAGCATCGGCATTGGTCGCTGGTTTAGTGTCTGATGTCTCATCATTAGAAGTTTCTTCGACCTAGAAATTTGTGAAGAGTTATAATATTACAACAAAAAATTTTTGTTTTCCTATTCCATTAGGCAACCGTGAAGCCATGCTCTGCCGAAAGCGGCGTCCTTGTCATAGGTCAGAAGCTGCGAGATGGCTGTAAGTAACCCGCATATAACAATTACAAACCTCCCGAACAAATTACTTCACCCCATTCTCCTACAAGTAAACAGATATTCAATTCAAATATCAACGAAAAAAATAATTTTTAGATTCCCGCGTTTTCCACAATAAACAACGCAGACACCACCTACGCCATCTTGATACACGATAACAAGACTTGCACGGTATTATTCTATTCATTCTCCAGCTCTGTATAATAAACGAACTCAACTTTTTTTGTCAGTATTGTTTCATTCTACTAAAACTTAGTACTTGTGTACAAAACATAAAATTGCGTACCTCCATATCCCCATTTTCAGCATTTTTCTTGTCAGTCGACATCTTGCCACACACGCGCTTACGAACTCGGCTACTGATTCTCCTTTGCAGTATGGCGGGCCTAGCCGTGCGTCTCCAACAACCAATAGGGAACAGATGTTCAATTTCCCGCGAATGATAGTCATTGGCTTACGTAAATTCAAGTGGGGAGAATAAATCCTTCCCACAATCTAACATTCATGTTCATATCCGTCATACAAACTTTTTAAATCATCTTAAGCATTATCTTTGAATTATTATCTCCATCGTGCGGAACACAAATTTTTATAACACAATTAATTTGTAATCAGTGTTGTATTTATTCATTATCGAGCTTCTGCGGTTTCCATTTTCCGCTCCCAAACACCTAATAACGTGTTTTTTAATAGTCAATTTGTCAATAATAAAAACGAAATAATCAGAGATAGTTTTTTGAACTGCCTAATACAAATTACACTTTTACTAGGAACCAAAGAGTTGAACTTTACGACTTTTCTTAAAATGAAGTTTATCATCTTTTTCGATATCATTTTTTCCATTCCAAAGAGAAACTAATATGATAATAAAGATCTGTAGCCTGAATTCAGACTCGAGTGACCTGAAACAAACTCAAATATAATTTAAAATAGAGAGGAAAGAGTCGGACAAAGTTGAAAATTCAATGCTAATAAAAGTAAAAAGTTGGCATTCACTAGTAAACTTGGAAAAAAATTGTACCTATGGGGATGTTCAGAATGACGTCACAACGTTTGGCGGCAAAGTGAAGGATGGCAACCTCCGCTGGGTTCGTAAGCGATTCCTAGAGAATTACCAAGATAAAACAGTTGTTTACTGTTTTGTGCGGTTGCCGAAGTGTATGGATCATCAATTTGTCATTTACAATATTTTCTTTCTTTCGATTTATTTAGGTTTTCGTTGAGAATTCCGTCGACGAACTGGATTTAAAAAAGGCACTTTTATCAACGCACGTTAAGTTGCTAGCTTTTCCTTTTGAAAATAGTTCGCAGTTAATTTTATCATGACTTTTAGGGTGGTGCTAAAGTGCTGCTTTTGTAATAAAATGAAATGTATTGGTTCCACATGCCCTTTCATCGGTTATGAAAAATGCCAACGAATTTCGAGCCCGTTCTATTAACATATTAGTGACTCCTACGTTTTTTAAAACTGTCGGGATTTTTTAAAATTTATTTTAGAAATATGTGTTATCACCCAAAGAAATATTACCCACATTAACTTTAATAATCGATTGGAAAAAATCCAGAATGTTCCTTTACACAATCCCAAAAATGTTCGTAATTTTTCACGGAATGAAGGAACTTTCCACACTAAGTTAACTAGAATTTAATATAATTTATCTATAAGTTTCAATGCGTTAATTGTAATAAATATATGGTTATTAAAAATATAAATAAATATTGCAATTTTGTATCATATTTTTTAGAAAAAGATGCTGCTGAATTCAAATTTTGATGGTTGAATTTCAATATTCACGACAGGCAAGTTTTAACGAATATTTGATGCCATTTCTTGCAATACAATTGGGACACGACTTGATAGCCCTGGTAGCAGATGAAAAGCTGATTTGGTGACCTACATAATATTTGGGCTTAACTTTTTACACAAATAGTCTTAAAAATCCACAAGTGGCTCATACAAATGTTGATGTTTGTACACGATCAAACAATTCAAGTGAATGCCAATTTATTTATTTAGAGCTACAACCTTTTTTTAAGTTTATTTATTTAAGGTCGCTTTTCAACAACTGGTCATAAGCGACCACGAGAATCAATTTATAATTTACACAATAATACACTTCTTTTTACAGTTATGTCATTATACAATTACATACAATTCATACAAGCATATAAATGGTCAAAATGTATTAATATTGTGGGGACTTACATAATTGGGATAGGTACACATATTTATTTATTTACATTACAAACGTTTTGATATTAACATGTTTGAAGGATTATTGTATATAAGATTAGGTAAAGTAGGGTATTTATATTAAGGTATAAATTTGTGATGTTTTTAAAAGTTATAAGACTTTTATACATTCTTCTGAAGAGGAGAAGGAATTATATAGAGAGTCTTTTAAATTTAAAGTCTTATATGGGCTAGTTCAGGACACTCCACAATAATATGGGATATAGATACTAGGGATCCACATTGAGGACAGGGTACTGGGTCAGCTTTTGTTATTAGGTGAATGTGAGAGATTAAAGTGGCCAATACGTAGTCTGGTAATTTGGACTTGTTGGAATCTAGTGAGCTGGAGTTTGGGAGGGCGGGTTCAATAACGGATTTCCTTACGAGATGAAGTTTGGAAAAGGTAGTCAGCCATTTTGCATTCTACTGTTTCTTAACCATATTTTTAATATATAGTTTAATCTATTACATCGTTTAATGGGTTGTATATTATTGAAAAATGGAAAATTACGTACATTTCACGTGAAACATCTGAGAATGACAGGAAAAAGTTTAGATGTGTGAATTGCGAATTACGAAGATGGGCGTATAGTGCAACTTACTATTAGCTTGAAATAACCTTCAAATCAGAAGTCTACTTTTGTCCTCTGTCCGAGGGTATCATAATTTTATATTGCGATGTTTACAACTTTCTCATCAACGCCCTACTTCATAATGGCACTTTACTGTTTTTCGTGTCCTTTCGGTCGTGCCGATGGATGTCGCACCATATCCAGCATTGCTACACGATAGCGATTATGCGACATCTAGCGCCGCGCTGAGATCCCATAGCTTTGCAGCACACTTCCGTGCACCGTATATACTCTGCTTCCGTGCGCCGCGAGGTGAAATGTCGCCACACTTTCCTGCTGTGTTGCCACCCCTATTCTTTCGGACATTATTGCAAACCGGTAACAGTAAAATAAACAAGGTCAGGAAAGACAATAGCCATTCGGCGCGATTTTAGCGTTGTTTGCCGCAAAAACGCAAGTTTTGGCGTTGTACCTCACATTGGCGTCACATTTGCCATCATGGTGGTGACTACTGTGTTTCAGTTGTAAATGTTGTAAATGAGAGCTGACGTGAAAGAGATGTGTTAGTGTTTTTTCGGTTCTAAAAGCTTTGGAAGGTAAGTCTTTGGCTTTTAGGTAGTTAACTTGAGTTCGCTTAGACCAATTCTTAACGAATGAAATATAACGAATGATTTTAAAATTGTTTTATGTCTGCTGTAATTTTGAACGTATCACAGAACGGGTTTAGTTTGCCGAATTTTCAAATGGCGATGGTTATGTAATGAGCCCCGATCTGTAACGGGCTCGTATTACATACACTACAACTTAAATTCGTACTATTTTCGTTTTAGATGCAACGAAAGGTTCGATGCTCAAAATAAAAAGGAATTAGTGATGCTACAGATTTGCACAGACGTTCTCGTACTAGTTAGTGTATTAATTTCTTTGGTTTTGGTTTGGTTCTTTGATGTAGCGTCTTCTTTCTTAGCTTTTCGATCATGCCCAATCCTCTTGCCAGCTGCCACCTATCGTCGCCCAAACATATTTTTTTTTTCAAATTTGCGCAATTTTTCGGTTATCTAATGGCAGAACTAAAAAATTACTTAAAGAATATTATTGAAGAGTAAAACCTCGTCCTATATGGACATTTCTGTAGAAAAATTTCTATCCAAAACTGCTCCAATTTTTTTCTTCAAACGTTTTTTACGAATAAAATCTAAATCACTGTTTATTATGACGCAATTAATTTTGCTGTATTCTTTTGTTTCTTCAAAAATTACAAATGTATTTTTTATGTATCTCCCACTCCATTAATATGCACATTTACGGCAATTTGTGTACATTGTTGTATTTGTGAGTGGCTGTGCTTCAAACGCCTTCCAATAAAGTTTTTCGAAATCTTAATAGTTTTCTGTGAAAAAGGTCTTCAACTTTCGCATTTACAGTAACGCTTAAACGCCATTTTCTCAAAAACGGCTCCAATTTGTTTCCTCTACCTTTTCGAACGGATAGTGCTAATTGCACTCATTAATATGACAAAGTTAATTTCGGGGTATAATTTGTTTTTCGAAAATTACACATTTTTTTAAAAGATTTCTCAAGCTGTCATATGCACATTTCACTTTTTTTACTTATCTCTCACGTTAATATTTACAATAGCGGCAATTTGTTCTCATTATATTTATGTGTACATGTACTTTAAATAATATCATATAAAGCTTCTCGAAAATTTAACCGTTTTCTGTCGAAACTAGTTCAAAATTTTGCTTTTTCGGAAATTCTGAAACGCTATTTTGTCAAAAAAAGTCTTCAAACTTTTCGGAAGGATAGTACCCATTGAACCGTTTAATATGATGAAAAGTTCAATTCGAAGTATTTTTATGTTGTTTTTTTTAAATTACACAAATTTAATTTCTTTGAAAGATCACTCATGCTACTAATATATCATTTCCAGCAATTTGTAAATACTAATGTATTTATTATTAAAGTGCTCAACAATTTTATGTGAAAAGGGCTTACAATTTCGAATTTACTGTAGCGCTTATGCGCCATTTTCTTAAATACGTCTTCAAATTGTTCGAAGAAAATTTCCATTTAGGACGAGGTGTTACTGAGGATCGTCACCTATGTCTTCAACTTATCTAATTAATAACATTCAATAATAATCGATTAAATAATTAACAAAATTGAAAACAGTGTATATCATTGTAGCACAATTAAGTTAAATCATCAATATTTTCATGTTTATAATAGCGCTCAAATTTGTCCCTGCTCCCCCCCTCTCTCTCTCTCT